GGAGGGGGGATCCTCCACAAATTGAAGTTTCTTGGAATGACCAGGAGAGGACTGGGAGAAATTGAACAATTCATTGAGGATCAACACGCTTTTGTGCATAAAAAAACACTTCGGAATTTGATTTTTGAAAGTATTTTGATTGCAAAAGAGAGAATACATTGTAAGCAGAATTCTAGAAAAGTGGGGGAGCATTATTGGTTAGAGCACAAAAAAAAGAAGTTGTTACATTTCCCGAATAAATGATTCAAAAAATGTGAATCTTTTCTCTACCCAGATTTGTTTTGTACATTGGATTTTTCTTTTTTTTAACTTGGTCAGTAGAAATGTGTAAAACTTCACATTCTATCCTTGTACGGGATTAAAGTTGCCCAACTTTTATTTCCTTTCGACGAGAAACGACATGAAAAATCAAATTCCGAAAATCGAAAAAGCTTTAGCAATCGATGTTCAATGATTAAAATATTGAATGGTATCAACTTCAAGCACCTGTTCGTTAATTTCACATGTTTAGAGTTTTAATATTGCATGTCAAAAGTAATAGAAATTGTTCAAACCGGAAAACAGGTGTTTCATAAAAAGCCGAGAACATTCCTGCAAAAATATATTTCAATTTTTACCTCAAAGCTATCACTTTTAGAGACAATTTAAACGTAATGATATTGTTTAAAAATCGCGAAACTCATCCTCTTTTTGCAGAATTGCAAACCCCTTGAAAATGAGTACTGAGAATGGAGGCGGCAATGTCGCCAAGAAGAAAACCATCGAGGGAATTTACCAGAAGAAATCCCAACTGGAACACATTCTCCTTCGTCCCGACACCTACATCGGTTCAGTTGAATTTGTCCAAGAGCAAATGTGGGTCTTCGACAAGGAGAAAGGCACGATGGTTCAACGTGAAATTAAGTATGTACCAGGTCTCTATAAAATATTCGACGAGATCCTGGTGAACGCTGCTGACAACAAGCAGAGAGATGCCAACATGAACGTAATAAAAATCGACATTGACGCCGAAAACAACACGATTTCAGTCTGGAACAATGGAAAGGGCATTCCCGTAGCCATTCACAAAGAGGAGAACATGTACGTCCCCACCCTGATCTTTGGACATCTTCTCACCTCTTCAAACTACGACGATGAAGAAGAAAAAGTCACTGGAGGTCGTAACGGTTATGGTGCGAAGCTCTGCAACATCTTCTCACATCGTTTCACCGTCGAAACCGCTTCAAATGAATTCAAGAAGTCCTTGAAACAAACCTGGGGTAACAACATGGGAAAGGCCTCAGAGCCACGAATAAAAGAGTTCTTTGGTGAGGACTTCACCAAAGTCACCTTTTCCCCAGACTTGAAGAAATTTAAAATGGATAAATTGGACGATGACATAGTTGCTCTCATGTCCAGAAGAGCTTACGACGTTGCTGCATCTGCTCGAGGAGTGAAAGTTTTTTTAAATGGCACAAAAATCCCAATCAAATCGTTCAAGGACTATGTGGACTTATATATCAAGGGAAAAGAAGATGACACTGGGAATCCTCTGAAAATTGCTTACGAGAACTGTGGTCCTCGCTGGGAAGTTGCTGTCACACTTTCTGACAAAGGATTTCAGCAAATGTCGTTTGTCAATTCAATTGCTACGACTAAAGGAGGACGACATGTTGATCACGTGACTGATTTAATTGTTAAAAATCTCTTAGAGACTTTGAAGAAAAAGAACAAAGGGGGAATTACTATTAAGCCTTTTCAGATAAAAAACCATCTCTGGGTCTTTATCAATTGCTTGATTAATAACCCAACATTTGACTCTCAAACTAAGGAAAACATGACACTTCAAGCTAAATCGTTTGGATCAAAGTGTCCAATCACTGATAAATTCGTGGGTACAGTTACGAAAATTGGAATTGTAGAGTCAGTTTTGTCATGGGCCAAGTTCAAGGCAGACTCTCAATTACAGAAATTGGGACCCAAGTCTAAACAAAGGAAGTTACAGGGAATTCCAAAGCTTGAAGATGCCAATGATGCTGGAACTGCTAAGTCAATGAGCTGCACTCTGATTCTGACTGAGGGAGACTCTGCCAAGTCTATGGCAGTGTCCGGAATGGGATCAATTGGTCGAGACAAGTATGGAATCTTTCCACTCAGGGGTAAAATTCTCAATGTTCGAGAAGCTACCCATAAACAGATCCTTGAAAATGCAGAGATTAACAATTTGATCAAAATTCTGGGGCTCCAGTACAAGAAGAAGTACGAAACTGTCGATGATATGAAGACGTTGAGATATGGAAAAGTCATGATCATGACTGATCAGGATCAAGATGGTTCTCACATCAAGGGACTCCTGATCAATTTCATTCATCACAATTGGCCTTCACTTCTTAGGCGCGACTTTGTAGAAGAATTCATTACTCCAATTGTAAAAGCAACTAAGGGCTCCCAAGTATTATCATTTTACTCATTACCCGAATTTGAAGAGTGGAAAAAAGAGACTGCAAATTTCCACACGTACTACATAAAGTACTACAAAGGTTTGGGTACTTCTACTGCTAAAGAAACTAAAGAGTATTTTGCAAACATGGCAAGGCACAGAATTAGGTTCAGGTACGATGGAGAGCAGGACGATCAGAATATCATAATGGCTTTCAGCAAGAAGTGTGTAGAGCAGAGGAAAGATTGGCTGACGAATCATATGGACGAGACGAAGAGAAGAAAGGAGGTGGGACTTGGTGAGAGGTTTCTGTATCAGAAAGACACACGTGCTGTTTCCTTCTCGGACTTCATTAATGTTGAGTTGGTGCTTTTCAGTAATTATGATAATGTCAGATCGATTCCTAGCATGATTGATGGGTTCAAGCCTGGACAGAGAAAGGTGCTCTTCACTTGCTTCAAAAGAAATGATAAAAAAGAAGTGAAGGTAGCACAATTGTCTGGTTCTGTTGCTGAACACTCTGCCTACCATCATGGAGAGATGTCACTGACGACAACTATCATCAATCTCGCTCAGAACTTTGTTGGCAGCAATAACATCAATCTGTTGATGCCCATCGGTCAGTTCGGTACCAGGGCGCAAGGGGGGAAAGACTCTGCTAGTGGTAGGTACATTCACACTCGGCTCAGTTCACTAGCAAGATTCATCTTCCATAAACATGATGACGCTTTACTCAAGCATGAGTATGATGATCATCAGAAGATTGAGCCTGTTTTCTATATTCCCATTATACCAATGGTATTAGTTAATGGAGCTGATGGTATTGGGACTGGCTGGATGACAAAAATTCCTAATTATAATCCCAGGGAGATTATTGAGAATTTGTACAGAATGATGGACGGCGCAGAACCGAAACCTATGATCCCGTATTACAAGAACTTCAAGGGGACTATTGAGAGCTGTGGAGAATACAGGTGAGCTTTGAAAGCCGATCAAATTCGTTTCTGGTTTTCAGTACGAATTTCTTGAATTCACAACTCTGTCGAGCAAAAAATTTTCGCATTTTCAATCATTTTAGGAATATTTTTCGTACAAGTCAAAGAAAAAACATTGATTTTTATTAAAATGTAGTATAATTGTTCTTAAATTAAACAACTTTTTTTTTATTTCAAGGAAGTCTTGGTTCTGGAATTCAGAACTTTTGAGTTTTAAATAAATAACAACTTTGGTTTTCTCAAACTAACAACATCCACTTTATCAACTTTTGTTCATGAACTTTTTTTATCATTGGGAATACTGATGAGAATAATCATTTTCTATTTGTCTTATAATTCAATTGATTAGATTAGGCAGCTTGCACTTTTCATTTTTCATTCGATTGAAATTCAGCATCACAATTTCCTTTTTTCCCTCTCTGGGTCTCCTCCTGGGCCTTGCTCTGGACTTTGGATTTGGATGTTTCATTTCCTCTTCAATTAATCCATTGACAAAATCTCCCGTCAAAACTTCTCAATAATTTTCCGTTCTACTGAATGGAAAATAATTATTATCATCGGTAGGTACTCCCAACAATAAAAAAAGTGAATACACAAAAGTTAATAAAAAAAATATTTAAGGCCTGTGTGGATTATTTTTCGAACGCGATCTTGGTTGTTTTTTTTATTTTTGTAATCTGAAATGATCTCCAATTACTATTCAATTTTCCGGAATCCTAGTCTCCAAAAATTATGATTGTTACAATAAAAAAAAAGTTGAAAAAAGTAAAACGCGAGATCGTTAGTTACCATGATAAATTATCCATTCAATATTTCTTAAAAACGCTCTTTGAAAATGTTCAATTTTTTTTCTACTTCTTTTCATTGTACAATCATAATTTTTAGGGACTCCTGCGTGATGTAAAATCCAATGGAAATTGTGATATATTTTAGTTTATGAAGATTGAAAAACAATCGAGGTAACGTTCCAAAGATAATCTACCCGGGCCTTGATAAAAAAAATTTTTTTGCTTGAATTGCGTCAAATAGTCGTTTTTCGACTGTTTCATTTTGCCCCACTCTCCCTAAAAACACAATTTAACAAAACCTTCGAGGAAATTGAGGTCATTCAAAGGGCAATAAAAAGGCCTTTAGCATTATGGTCAGAAGTATGGCTTCTTGAGACGATGCATTATTCAAAAATATATTATATTGGTCTCATCTCTTATTTCTTTGTCCAACCACAGATATGTAATCTCAGGTGAAATCTCAATAATTGGTCCCGACAAAGTAGAAATCACAGAGTTGCCCGTTGGTTGTTGGACGCAGACTTACAAAGAAACAGTTCTCGAGCCAATGCTCCATGGATCAGACAAAGCACCAGCATTGATCACAGATTTCAAAGAATATCATACAGACGTTGATGTCAAATTTATCGTGACTCTACCGCGAGACAAACTCCAAGAACTCGAGAGAGAAGGTCTCCACAAAGCCTTCAAACTTCAGACGACAACATCAATCACTTCAATGTGCGCCTTCGATGAAGCCCAGTGTCTCCAGAAATACGATGGAGTCTTGCAAATTCTAAGGGGCTTTTATAAAGTACGAATGGATGCCTACATCAGGAGAAAAGAATATCTCCAAGGAATTCTGAAGGCTGAGGTCTCGAAACTCAGCAACCAAGCACGATTCATCGTGGAGAAGTGCGATGGAGACCTTATTATTGAGAATAAGAAGAAGAAGGACATGATTACTGAGCTCGTCAGAAAGAATTATGCTTCTGATCCAATTGTTGCTTGGAAATTGGCACAGAATAGAGTAGAAGTCTTGGTGAGTTATACTTCCTTTATTTGTCCCTAATTTGTCTCGTTAGAATTTTATACGTGGTAATGTGAATTTTAAAATGTCTCGCTACTGAAGGAACAAGAAGTGAGTTCAATGCAATTCATTCTAGTTAATAGATTGTAGATAGAAACCACTGGAGGAATACTGATTGGACATGAGTTGAACGAAAAGGTCTCAAGACAATTTATCTAAGAAACCTTTTCTGGAGGAAATTGTGTTGGCTAAAACAATTCGGATAGACTATAATGAATATCATAAAACCATCGATAAATATTACTTTTCAAATTCTGAAAATTCATAACGCCTTCATTTCTTCATTCCATCACCTCATTCACGTTTACAATAAATTGATCCAATAATAATGTATCGAATCACTAAAATCTGATCTTCAAGTGTAGTCTACTGATCCCTTTTCCCCCAGCACCCTCTTGATTTTTCTCCATCCCGCTCCAAGGAATTTTCTAATATTCTGATAAAAAATTTATGCATTTCTTCAGGAAGAGGTAGCTGAAAATCAAGAGGGGGATGAGCCGGTGCCAGCCTCTGCCATCGAGAAAGAGAATTACGACTATCTGTTGGGAATGACGATGTGGTCGCTCACGAAAGAGCGAAAAGATGAACTTTTGAAACAACGAGACATAAAAATTAGTGAGCTGCAGCGTCTGCAGGCAAAGTCACCGCCGGGTCTCTGGAAAGAGGATCTAGACGCTCTGATGGTGGAGCTCGATCGAGTTGAGGCTAAAGAACGTAAAGATGAGGAGAAACCCATGGGAGGAGTGAAGAAAACTGCTGCTAAACCACTCTACAAAGTAGACAACTCTCGTCGTATTGTTCCCACAATCGACAATGATCTCAAAAAACGAATTGAGAAAGCAGACATTGTATCCAAGGACAAGAAAGACGGAATAAAGAAAGCTCCACGAGGGAAGAAAGAGAAAGAGGCGATAAAAGAGGAGAAAGACGAGTTTGACGCTCTAGTGGAGTCCAACGCAAAGTCCCTGGAGGATAGACTAGGCACAAGCCCAGATAAAACTGATAAGAAGAAGAAAAAAGGAGGTGGAAGGCAAACAACACTGCCCTTCAAGCCAATTGACAAAAAGAAGAAGAAAAAATCAAGAGGAAGTGACGAGAGTGATGAGAGTGATCCGGACATTGATTTTGACACTTTATCACCACCTCCACCACCTAGAACACCAAGGCGAGCAGCTGCTGCTAAGAAGAAGTACAATTTGGATAGTGAGGATGAGAAGAGTAGTGATGTCGAACTGCTGAGTGATGATGAGGATAAAAAACCTTCGTCTGCTGCCTCTTCTGCTCCTGCAGCATCTTTATCACTTTCAACTGGTAAAGGTAATGATAGTGACTCTGAGGATGATTTCAAGTTTGATAAGAAAAATCCAACACATAAACCAAGTTCTGAAGAGCTTTTTGATTCATTGGTTGGAAATACACCTATCAAGTCTAGTGGAGATAAAGTTATGAGTTCTAGTGATGATTCACCCATTGTCAAACCTCCGGCAAAGAAGGCAAAAAGCGGTGGGGGGAAAAAGAAAGAGAATGGGGGACCTAAGGGAATGAAGAGGCCTATGAAGAAGGTGAACTCGTCTGATGAGAGTGATGACGACATTTATGAGGCAAGAGGGAAGAAGAAGGCGAGGAAGAGTGAGAGCTTCGATGATAGTATTGTGGATGATTCTCCCCCACCGAGAAAGGCTGGAGGAAGGGCTAGAAAAGCAGTTTCCTACGCCGTGGACTCGGATGACTCAGATTAAGGGATTTAGAATTAGTTAGGTTTACTTCTGTAGTGGAGTGGTGGAGAATGAAAGGTCAGTTTATTTTGCGAATATCTCGCAAAGTAATGGATCGAGGAAAAAATGTCAAAAAGCTATTTAAGCTTTCCACTCCACTACTAATTCAACAGTTTATGGTCCCCACGAGCTTTTGATAAGTCTTTGTGGTAATTAGGGAGTAATTCATTGATGTGTACGTGAATTGCAACGTTTTATAAGTATTCACGGGGAAGTGAAACTATTCAATCGTCAGAGAGATTTTTCTGCGGTCAAAAGGACTTTTCTCAAGTTTTCGGGAAGTTGAAATAAGAAAACACAGTTGATAATTTTAGATAGTCAAAAAATGAGAATTCGAAAGTTTTTTCACTTGGCAATTTGACCGATTTATTCACCTGGTAAAACGACTTTTCAACCCAACGATTTTGTATGTGAATTTTTTTTGTCTTTTCGAGTTGTACAGTAAACATGATTAATCTAGATGACTTATTAGAGTAATTAGAAGTGAGTGGAAGCGAAACTGCACATGAACGTCATTCGATGATTTTTAATTCTCTAACGTTCAATTAACAAAACTGACAATTTCCATGCAATCCTGTGTACTTTTTACATTGTCATTACAACGAGACTCACTCCAAGACATTGAAAATTAATAGGATAAGGATCATACAGATAGATAAGATTGTAGCTGGATCTTTCGAATTTTGTTAATTTACTCATTATGTGTATGTATTTCACTTCAACAAAATAATGAAAATTCAGAGGTGAGGTGAAACCTAACTTATTTCGATAATGCATGATTTTAGCAGTACATGTCAAGAAATATTTTTGAGTGGAATCATCTCAGCTACACAAGTCTTCTACTATTTTCTGCTAATGCCTCTCGTTTTCAAACTAAAGCTGAAATTACAAAATAATAATAATAATAATAATTTTCTTACGAGAACAAAAATCGGAAATCGTAAATAATAATTATTTGTAAAACTTTGTAATGAATGACACTCACCTGAACATTTTGAACTCCGTGTCTGGTATTGGTCTGATAGATAATGAAAATTTGTTCGAATGAGTATGAATGTTGAATTGAAGAATTAATGTTTGAATAAAAAATCTGAATTAAAATTGTTGCTCTGGTTTTTAATTTTCTCCTTCTTTCCCTAAATAAAGTTGCGTGGAATAGGGAGGGGGATTAGGATTTCGAAGCAAACCAGATCAGAATTTGTATTCTCTTTTCTCACGATTCCACTTTTTTTAGAAATAAATCATGCCCACACTATAAAACAATTAAAAATCAAGAAATACCTACGCTGCTCCATTATTCAACTAATCAAGAAATAATGACTATTGAATGGACCAATGCGTTTTACTTACTTATTTTATATTGGTTGTTTTTTTTGTGAAAAAAAACAGGGAAAAAAATGCGAATTTTCATCGTTTTTGTTATCGACATTTTTTTCAAATCGCGTTAACTATAATACAAAGCAAAAGGGCACTTGATAAAATAACTTAGTCTTCTATTTTCATAATTATTAATATCTATATAACATACATATATAAAACAAATTGAGTAAAGCGACTAATCGATTCAGGTTTGTAAAATTATAATGATTATTAAAAAAAAAAAATTCTTTTTAGATTGACATATTTTTCCAATTTTTCATCCCTGGACGATACAAATAAAAATGTCAAAGTCCCGAAGAAGAAGGAAAAAAAATGAATTAGTTATTAATTCATTACTTGAGTAATTAATCGATTCAGCAGTGAAATATTTAACTTTTTGAAAATTCTTCCATTGTCAAACAATTTTATACAGATCCAATTTGACATTCGAAACGAGTGTCAATTTACAAGAATTGAGAGTTAAAAATTTGATATAACTGTTGCCAATTTACTGTCGAATCGAATTAATTAGGGAGTTCTTTTTCGTTATATGGAATCAATCAAAATTGTGGAATTAAAAATAAAAGGGAGAACAATGATATGCAATATGTGAGAAATCAATTCAAAACGATTTTTTTGATTTCCTTCGGTTTTTAGTTTTTTCGTATGATATATACACGCATGCTAGATTGTAACAATTGTTCGATTTGTTTTCTTCATTGCAAATATGCCATTATTCTCATACCACACACTAGACAACACATGAATCATCACATAGGAAATAACTGAAATGACAAAAGAAAAATGTCTAATTACTTGTTAATGCTTCATTAATTTTCTTTTTCACTATGTTTTGTAATTCTTAATCCACCAAAAATATGAACCGAAAATTGCGTAAAAAGGACATTTACTTTTGAAATTTTGAATATTTATTTGTTGTTTTCACTCACACCATCCCAATCATTCCAATTTTTTCCACGAAAAGAAGTGTAGAAAAACCGACTCAAAATGATAAAATGAAAAAAAAATATATTTTTCACTTGCATGAAACGTTTTTTAATATTTTTTTTCTTGCTTTGTTTAATTCACAAAAACTTATCACATGTTTATCTCAATTTTTTCATCATTTCTCAAATCCTTACATTATTCAATTTTTCCTCATTTCTCACTTCATTTACATTTTTTAATTCTCATTCAAGCACTAGTTTTGTTTTTTCTTTCGAATCAGCTCACTGTTCGATACAAGGAACAATAACACAATTTAATATTCTTGTCATTTTTACGGACACAACATTTCTTATTGTTGTGTTGTTTGAATTCAACAGTAAAACGATAAAACGTTAAATATCAATTTCTCCCACTTCGGTTAATGTCAGATTAATCTGATAATGAGGTATTTCAGGAAAAAATGTAAGGAATGTTTTGTAAGGAATTTCTTCGTCCACAAAAAAATTTCTTGATACTTTCCCCTAAAATCCCTCATTCCTTGAAGGAACAAAGATACCAAATTTGACTAAACTACGTTTTACCGCTTCACTCCAGAATAACTGTATTAATGATTTTTCGTTCGTGATATTTTGCGTGTATAATTTCCTCTCTCTCATAACTGAAATAAAAAGAATCAGTTATTTTATCATTCCTACTATTATGCTCTTATTTTTGATTCCACAAAAATGCACTGATTATTTTAATCAATGAAATTCTATGTCGTCATTGATAGTAATTTTGTTAGTAATTCCTCCTTCATCGAGAGGGATGAAATTAAATTGTTTAATTCATGAATTTTCTTTTACCGGTGATTATTGTGGCAGGGTGAATGTCTGTGTTTGTAACAGTGATGTCTGAATAATTTTTTTCCTTTATCCATCATTTTACTTGTATTTACACTTGGATTAATTATTAATTTCTTACATTCACTGTATTTTTAATTTTTATTTATTTTATTTTTTCATTATTTCACTGTTTTTATTTTGTTTAATTACTTAGTTTTGTTTTTTTCTCCTCTTTTAATTGATGCATAAATGGTGTGCAGTTTGAGTGTCCTCTCATACAGATTTGGCATTTTTATTTTTTTAAATCTTCTTCTCGTTTCTTTAAAATTTAATTTAATTATCGATGAAAAGTCCCTCACTTTATTTTTCACTCTGTCCCATTTATTTTTAACCTACTGAACAAAAAAAACATGTCCCAATTCATTTGGGCATCTCCAAATGTTTTTCAAGCAGTACTTGTCGATTACTCCAGTGTCTTCAGCTTCTTGCAGGCTTTTTTGTAATAGAAAATGAAAAAACCAAAAACGAATTGTACATTATTTCATGTTTTTTACTACGAGCTGCTCGATGCATTCATGCCACTGAACATTCCAGTTGTAAATGAGGTCTGTTGCTGTTGTTGCTGCTGCTGCTGTATTTGTTGTTGTTGCTGCTGCTGGGCTTGTTGCTGCTGTTGGCTATTTGCTTGACGTCCGTGCTTTGGCACTGGTGGCTGGAGGTATTCATGTCTTGCTAATGTCAGTACATCGATTCTCTCTTCTTTTCTGTATGCCAGACAACTTCGTATAAAACTCTGTAAAAATAGTAATATATCGTCAGTCATTCTTACATTGAGGGAAAGAGGAGTTGGAAGAAATCCATGTAGAGAACATTGTGAAAAAATATATGGCAGATTCTTCCAAATATCGTCCTGGTCATTGGCGTCAAATTTTGGATTGGGCTGCGAGTTTTACCCTTTGTTGTATATATATTGAGGAGAGATTTGTTCTAACTTTTTAGTCTCGTAACTCTATTAATAATGGAGAAACCTCAGATGGAAGTTTTTTTCTATTTGCTATTCAATTGAATCTGACGGCTACAGTTTCAATTTTGCAAAAAAATCTTTCATAGATTTTTTTTAGGAACAATCCTGAATTTCCCTTAAAATCGACTTTTTCCTCAAAATTATGCGTAAATTCATTATTCCATCACATCGAATTGAAAATAAAGTTTTCCTTCGAAAGAACATATTTTTTCACGCATTCACCGAGAATTTCAAAATTAGAACTTGTGATACATGTTGAGCAATTCCACTAGATGAGTGCAAAAATCGACAATTTCCTTGAAATTCCAAGGATTTAATGTTCGACAACAGTATAAAATTATTAGTAAACAGTCGAAAAGTAATTTTGCATAATTGTCTTTATTAATTTTCTAACCGTTACACATAACCGTGCTTTCGTTGGAAAGGAAACCTTAAATAGTTGTTGGTTATCATGAAATTACTCAGTTTTTCATCAGCAGTTCCAATTTAAAATTTTAGATGAATGCGTGAAAAATATGCTCTTTCGAAGGAAGAAATTTATTTTCAATTCGAAGCGGTGAAACAATAAATTTACGCATAATTTTGAAGAAAAAATCGATTTTAAGGGTCAAGGACTGATGAAAGGAAAAAATTGACATTTTTTCGGACAATGCAGGATTATTCCTAAAAAAAATCTATGTAAAATTTTTTTGTAACATTGAAACTGTGGCCGTCAGATTTAATTGAAAAGGAAATAGAAAAAAGGTTTCTCCACTATTAACAGAGTTACGAGGCTAAAAATTTAGGACAAAGGTCTCCTGAATATGTACACCAAAGGGTAAAACTTGTAGCCCAATCGAAAATTTGACCCCGAAAACCAGAACGATATTTGAGAGAATCTGCCATATGAACTCTAGAAAGCTCTCTATGGAGTTTCTTCAACTTATCTCATATTCTTTACCCTTTGGTCGAATAATTTTTCCAAACTTATTTTGTTCCCACAGAAATGGATTTTCATTCGTAAAATGAATTCTTCAATTAAGGCCCAGATGGATCATCGTTCGAACGCTATTTCGATTGTTTTTCCATCTTCATAATGTAAAATATGTCGCAATTTCCATTGGATTTTACATCACGCAGGAGTCCCGAAAAATTATGATTGTACAATCAAAAAAAGTAGGAAAAAAACTGAACATTTTTAGAGAGCGTTTTCAATAAAGATTAAGAAATAAATCCGATAGAGAGGAAATAGTGAATGGATAATTTATCATGGTAACTAACGATCTGACAGCCATTGACTACTGTGACAAATGACGACTTAACGGTCTCCAATTGCTATTCAGTTTTACATAGCCCTGGAGTCTCCATTAGGAGACTCCAGGGCTATGCAAAACTGAATAGCAATTGGAGATCATTTCAGATTATCAAAATAAATAAAAACAACTAAGATCACGTTCGAACGATAATCCACCCGGGCCTTATTTTGATAAGGAGTCTCCTAATGGAGACTCCAGGGCTATGTAAAACTGAATAGCAATTGGAGATCATTTCAGATTATCAAAATAAATAAAAACAACTAAGATCACGTTCGAACGATAATCCACCCGGGCCTTATTTTGATAAGGAGTCTCCTAATGGAGACTCCAGGGCTATGTAAAACTGAATAGCAATTGGAGATCATTTCAGATTATCAAAATAAATAAAAACAACTAAGATCACGTTCGAACGATAATCCACCCGGGCCTTATTTTGATAAGGAGTCTCCTAATGGAGACTCCAGGGCTATGTAAAACTGAATAGCAATTGGAGATCATTTCAGATTATCAAAATAAATAAAAACAACTAAGATCACGTTCGAACGATAATCCACCCGGGCCTTAAATGAATTCAAAAGAACTTCATCAAATGTTTCAATCAGTTAATAGAAATTTAAAAGGAAACTCTTAAAAAGAGAAGTCCAAGATAGTAAATATAAATTCTTCTATTGTTATGTAATTAAATATAATTACCTTAGCTTCGTTGCTAACTGTCGGTTTATTCGCAAACTGTACCTCAGTTGCTTTCAATATGGTATTCTCTTCCAATATAGTCGCTTGCGACTGATTATGGCCGAATGGCTGTAAAGGATTGTAAAATTGAATAAAACATTTGATAATTGAATTCTTATTGGAGGGAAGCAAAAATTTCAATTGCTTACTTCCCATCAGCATAATTATAAGTCAAATGATTTACAATCATTACCTTTTTACCATAGAGGCACTGATAGAAAATAACTCCTACACTCCATACATCAACCTTTGACGATATTTTAGGTGGGTTTTTCCCAACTACAAAACACTCTGGTGGTAAATACCTGCAACAAAAAAAAAACTAATATTCTTCAAGTCAAGAACAACAAATCAGTAGTAAACTAGAGGAAGAATATCAGTTGGAAAAAAATATACAGGTTATTTTTAGAGTATCTTTGGAACGAATAAATTTTGCGCATAATGTTATTTTCTGTCAAATATATTTTAACACTGATCATAAATTAAGTGCTTTCAAACATTCCTCTGTAAACCTGCTTGTTCTAGAGATGATTGTCAAATAATCAATATGATATCATGACCACTTTATGATAGGAAATTCCAACCAATTTGATTGCATTGATATTATGATTTAAAATACAAACCAGTACGTTCCAGCTCCCTGCGATGTCAAGTCCATTCCATGATCAGGATTGTAGTTCTCCTCGTCCATGACTTTGCTCAAACCAAAATCTGTTATCTTAATCTCCCCACAAACATTCCCCTCAGTCAACAGGATGTTACCTATTCAGAACAAAAAAATAAAATTAATTCATGAAACAATCGATACTGGCCATGCCAAGCATAAAACTATTGAAAAATGTTTAGTCAATTTATTTACCTGGTTTAAGGTCATAATGTATGACAGGTGGTTTTATTTCGTTAAGGTACTTCAACGCTGAGACAACTTGCATAACAATTGATCTTGCCTCTCTCTCAGGAATCATTTTATGCTGAAAAACAAATGAATGAATAATCCATTAGTGATTGAATTGGAAATTCATAAAAATCAGTAGTAAAGCCCGTTCAAGAGAAAATACTCAGAGACCACGGTGTTGTCAAGACAATATTCAACAGTTAAAAATAATTTCAGAATCTCCTCTCAAAAGAAAATTGAAAGGTATAAAAGCAAAGCTGGTTACACTCCTGGATATTTCAAAATGAAATATCTAAAAACCAAATAATAAATAAGAAGTTGAATTCCAACTTTCTCATCCTTAATATACAGTAGTGCTATCATCAAACCAGTATCGAAGTGATAAAACATGATGAGTCAACTACACTTCGAGGTCAGCTTTCGATAAATATCTTTGAATCTAAAGGAGACATTTTCTGCAAAGCAAAGTTCGTGATGTGAAAACGTCTCTACAGAAAGGACAATTGGCGATCTGTTCTTAAGTTGAGGAAAATACTGCTAAAAAATGACCTCATAAAGTGATTTTGACACCTCATCTACCTTCCTAATAAAAGTATAAATTACCTGTTTGAGATAAAAGTCAAGATCATGACCATCACAGTATTCCAAAACTGTACAAAATGAATTGGCATCAATCTCAAAAACATCATAGAGCTTGACAACTCTCGGATGATCGAGTGCTTTGTGTATATTATACTCCCTCAATGCATGTTTAATATAATTGGCTTTCTTATCCTCTTTCCAGTCTTTATTTAATTGATGTACCTTACACGCAACATAGCGCTGTTCCTTGAGATCAAATGCTTTATGTACCTCACTAAAACCACCTTTTCCTAATAACATAAGTAATAGGTAACGTTCATTCAGTACTGGATGTGAATTGAAACGTGATTGGTCCTCATTGTGTATTCTTTTTAATTCCCTAATGTGTAAATTTCGTTCTCTCTCCAATTTTTCCATCTCAAGTTGCAAATCAGCGTCCTCCTTCTTCAATGCACTCTGACGTAATTTGAGTATTTCATCTGCCTCGTAATATTCTTGCCATGTGTACGAACCAGGCACAGCATCGGGCTTCAAAAATGTTGCTTCAGTACCATTATGCAGTGATGGCTGTGGTTGACTACGTTTACGACCAGTTTCACTATTTGATGGCCTCTTTTTTAATAATAATTTTTTTTGCCTGTCAATCTCCTCACGTTCAGTCGATATTTCCTCCTGTCTACGTGCTAATTCTTGAAATGCATAACCATCCGTCCAATTTTCTTGAAACGTAGCACCAACACGTTGGGTTACAAATTGTCCAAGTCTCAGTCTATTTTGCATACATCTTTGCCTAGCCTCTTTCTTCTCGATATTTGATTTCTCTTTAAGAAGTTTCTTTACAACGTCTATACATTTATTTATATGAGATTTGTGCTGTTCTAGAATTTTCTGTTGATTCGCCATTTGATGCCTTAATTCTTCGGTTGTCTATAATGAAAAATTATGAATAATAATTTGTGGAGATTATCGTGTGAATAACTTCCAAGGGAAACAGTAAGTTTAGAAAGAAGTGTAAGGAGTATTTCTATTAAAATTTTAATTTTCTGGAGAAAGAAGCCTGTCGAGGAATCTTAACCAACTTATCAGTATTGAAATTATTGTCGAGCTCCAATGAGACACTTACTCTATTTAATTCGTCAATTTTATTATTACGTAGTTCTAAATCTGACGATGCCTGAGACTCAAATTCCTGTATCCTCTGACAAGTGAGTTCCGTCTAAAAACAGACAAGATTTGTTATAGATTAAACAAGTTCCTTGAGAATTTGGATGAAATTATTTTTGTCATAGTCTACTACATTAAATATCGGTTCTCTATATAAAAAAAATACCTTGAGCACCGCAATTCGAATGGGTTCAATGAGAAATAGTAAATAAAGTAGAAATAACAATAACATTAATAATAATAATAATAATAATCATGCATTCATCAAAATAAGCGAATAGTCTGGAAGGCGAGAACAATTTTCCCAAGAATGTTCACCATCCCAAAAATTTTGAAAAACCAAAAAAATTACAGCGAAGTGATGGACACGAGACATGTTCAAAAGAGTTTAGCTGAATACTCTGTAAATATCTTTTAAACTATCGAACCGAGGGCATACTTTAACACCGCCACAATGTTTTTTTGGCTAAATAACCAAGAACACACGATGAATGACACTTGATGTCTAACACATGCCATGCATTTCACATCTTATGAAAACACATTGTTTTACAAATCATCAACTTAAACAATTAAGTAATTCTGTAGGCATATTTTATGCATCTTGATTGACACATTTAATATATCCACCGATCTAGACTGTACACATTCTGTAAATGCAATTTCACGGAAAATACAATGTGTACTTCAAATTCCGCATTGTGTTGTTCTGATTGACACATGTGCAGTTCGTCATGTGTCAATCCAACGTGTCTAATTCAGAGGTGTGTGATTCTAATGTGTGTAATTCGGACATGTGCAATTCGGACTGTGATTAAAATTCTAACTAATTAACTCCTATGACCTCTCTATAACGCCTCTTGACTCCCATGAGCCTTCCAATCCCCATATAATTTCCGTATGACCACTATGACATTCATATACCCCCCATGACTCTTCTTGACCCTCATGTAGCCCCCCTGAAACCTTGATATGACCCACCTATAGCGTTCCTGTTGCATTTACAGAATGTGTAATTGGACATGTGTTCGTAAATTATGTGCAGTGTAATTTGATGGATACATTAAATGTCTCAATCAAGAATTACCTCATTGTTTAAGATCATGGTTCGTAAATAAATCCATGTGTTTTCATAAGATGTGTAAATGTATTGGATGTATTAGACATCAAGTGTCATTTATCGTATGTTCTTGGTTATTCTGCCAAGAAAACATTATGGCGGTGCTAAAGTATGCCCGGACCGAGCCCACTAACCCCAAAGATGTTTCACTGAATATCTATCGCATTAATATTCAGAAATTATGCTGTAATATATTAATATTTATAATATATTATTAGTTCAAAATTTCAGGATTATAGAATCCAAAGAAACACCAACAGAATTTTCGTCTGTCATTAATTGTTAATGAGAACTAGAGAAAAATCAATATACTAGTAGAAAACACCCAAACCCATCAATTTTTACAGAACGACATTACAAAAAGCAATTCAGATAGACTCTTCTTTGGTATTCATTCTACTCTATTACAACAATCTAACTGAAACAACGAATGACAGTGCTTGCTTGGTGTAAGAAACAGTAAAATAACAATATTAAAAAAACTTAACTGAAAACAAAAAGAAAAATTAATAGGGTTTGAGAATTTTGTTGACGGTGCTTACATTTGGGGTGTTTGTCTTCGCCTGCCTGACCTGGCTTGTCCTAGGTAGGTTCGTGGGCCTTACCTGAACCTGCTTGCTAACCATTGAGCCTGCAGGTTGTGTTGTAGCTGATGGTGGAGGTGGGGGCTGTATTTGAGGTCGTGGTGGCTGCATCAGGGATGAAAATTCAGCGCCTGAGGCATTTGGCGTTGTCGATTGGGATGATACTAGTGGTTGAGCCGATGGTGGATACTAAAGTGTTTAAGAAATATTATTGATGTTTTGAACAATTTATCTATATATATTTTTACTTTGTTATTTGAAGAATAAAATTATGATTCAAGATGATTGAATTATTTTTTTATGTTGAAATCTAGCTTTAGAAAAAAGTTTAGAGAGAAATTTCACAAGACCTATCCTGTCGAGAATTTGATCAATTTCAACAACGATCTGTCATGTCTGTGAATTAATTCATATGTAATTTTCTTATTCGTCACATCTTACTACTCTAATCACAGATCTAAGGGAATGAGAAATATTATTTCCATAACAATCAATTGACTTTCCTCAGCAAAATAAAAATTCACAGAATTTCATTTTTGTTGCACATTATGAATTCGATTTCCTCTCAATTAAATTTCATTCATTTTTATTTGAAACGAGTTTTAATTAATAAGATTGAAGACACAAAATAGTCAAATTTTAAAAAAAATTATATCGAAGTCAATATGATTTGGGAATTACTTTCAATGGTTCATTTTCTAAAAAAAAATAGAAATGGAAAAAACATTGGGAAGTGTTGAACTGAGAGAAAATGTTTCTCAACTTGAAATCATCATTTTTCTTATTTCCTGACCTTCAACCTCTCTTTTTCAAACAAACTGGACCACCTTGAGCACTTCTGGAAATCAAATTCATGATTCAAAAGAATTTTATGTCATGACAAAATATTATTTTCGTTCAAACAAATTTTTTTCATAATAGAATACAGGCCTAATTCGATCAAACTTTTGCCAAACACTATTACATCTAAGCATTCGTCAGCTTTGATGTTTGAATGAAAAAAAAAATCAGTGGTTGAAAAATCAGATCTGAAATATCGGACTGAATCGAAATCCATTCCAAATATTGCACAGTACAGAATCCCATTCCTCTCCATAATTCATTCAACTTCAATTTTTAAACACAAAAACGTTAACGTGATGAAGGGAGAAATGGTAAAACTTTCTAAACTCTCATAACACTGAAAATTTGAAAGATAATCTCAGTAATGATTACCTCGGTGATGATTTGGTACTACTACGAGAAATCACTAAGACGTTCGTTCTTGTACATCTCATCAACAATAAAAAATCTCTTGATATATTCTCCAAAGTCTTCCATTCATCTCACAACCGTTTGCCAATAAAAATTACATTCAATCTCAAGCCCACTTTACTTTACAAATCTGTTTTGATAAAATATTTGAGAATCCAAGCAACAGATCGAAATTTTCACGGCTACATATTTTGTACCTCTCAATGTTTTCTACAAAAAAGGTCGGTATGAGGATTTCCTCATTTCCACCAAAATTCGCAATTGAAGTTTACGATGTATTACCCCCTTTCCGCTAATTTTCAAGATTTGTTTTTAGATTTCTGACAAATATAACGTTTTTGCGTTTCTTCTGAAGTTTCTTAAATTTTCGCAAAATTTAAAAAGAATCCATGAAATGCTTACAAAATAATGACATTTTCTGAGTCATTAGAGATGTCCAAGTATCTTTTACAGTTTGGTACAGACCGCACTATAGATTTAACCATTTTCCATCATCAAATGCGTCAATAAAATTGCGTGAGAAAAATTTGAAAAAATCATGAATATTCAACGTCATTCCAATTACATTTTGCACAGAATTATCATTTTTTTAACATCGGCTTTTATAAATAAATAATTGAAATTGCCCCCAAGAGAGAACTTCCTATTTTTTTTCAGATTTTTAAAATGTTTTCTAACGGTTCAATATCGAGATTCAAATTCAGACCTGTAAAGTTTAAATAATAAAATCAGTGTAAAATGTCCGGAAACTTAGGGCCAAATGGGACTCAAATGAAAGCTCTGTCGTTCGACTACAAATGTAGAAAAGCATTTCATTGGTGAAAAAATAGCCCAAGTACTTGGATATCCATATATAATGATAAGCATGGAAATTGGCTGAAAGAGTACTATAAGCTTTCGTAATTAGAGGTAATTGAATTGAAATTTTTTTTTCAATATTTTCAATCCAGTCCATGTGTCCGAAAAATAAGAATTAATATGGGAAAAGTTATTGTTTATTGAACTTATCCCCACAGAAGCATAAAATTATCAAATCGAAAAGAGACTGTCCAGTGAATTCTATTTAACGGCGCCGAGTTACATTTTCGTTTTGATTAAAAAATTCATAGTATCCTCCCCACAGGTTAATCTATCTCGGTTTAACATTGATTGAATTATTAATAAGATAATAAAAATTACCATAGGATATTGCGGCGATGGACTTTTAGCGCCTCCATGCCTAATTGGACTACTGCCTAGATGATGTTTTGGAAAATACTCGTTGATTTTTTTATCCAATGCTGGTACAGAACGTGCACCTTTAGAACTAACTGGACCACCAGAACCACCGCCACCACCGTCATCAACTTTGCGTTTTCTCTTCCTCTCTCCCGTGCTTCGTGGTACCTTTTCAGGTGTGTTTGGATCCACCTCCTTGTCGCTGTGCGACGAGCCTGAAACAACAAAGAAAAATAATTAACCAAAACATTCCATGATTTCTTCTAGTTTCAGAATTTCGCAGAATATTCTGCAAATGTCTCGAGTAGGAGAAAGTTAAGAAAAGTTTGTCAGGAGATCTTTCCTGCCAGAGGATTTTACGAACTACGAAAATATCTCTTGACACTCTCGTAATCGATATGCAATTTTGATCTTCTTTCCTTACTCTGTGACAAATAATTTTGGAAATATCTCAGCATTTAGGAGGTTCGGGGCAAAAGTCGAAGGGCTTTTCTTTACTCTATAAAATCCCTGTAAATTAAATCTATTGACATTATTTTTCTCTAAACCTAGGGCAAACAGGCCGGTTAAGGGAATTACTGGACGGTTAAGGGAAATTTGAGTTTCGTGGTAGGGTCTAAAATAAAAGAATCACCTAAATGGGAATATGATGGCTTCCACACCTTCAAGAATTTTTCAGTTAGCAGAAAAAAATGATTTGAAGTGAAAAAAAAAAAAAGAATAATTAAATTAAGAAATAGTTGAATGCAACCGAAACCCCTAATTTCTGGACGACTGTTCCATATTTTTATTTTTTTATTAAACGTCGATCAATAGAAAAAATGATTGATCACATGATTATAGAGGAGTAATATTATTGAAAAATGAAATAATCAGTACAATTTTCATTTTATTATTTACTGAATGTTCAATGGAAGTAGAAATTGTCCAGAAACTAACCCCCTTCCAAACCTGTTTACCCTACTATTGGTCAATCAAATTCACCTCTATCATTTCTTCTTGGTCACTTACCAGTACTCATATTCGAGTCTTGACTATGAACCGACTGACCAGAGTTCACGGTTGATTGGGGTGCCATCTGAATTTGTGAACCAGCAGACATCTGAATAAAAAGAACCAAATTTACACAATGATTAATAATTTCCAAAATGTAAAGCTGTAGTGTTATATTGAAATGATAGACCGTTATGGCGAATCATTTTAGGAAACTATTGTAAAAAATCGATTCTCCAGCTGAAATAATGATTTGCAAAGAAAATCCTCTCAATAAATCATTATCCGTTTTATCATTCCTTGGACGAATTTCTCTTGAATTTTCATTGTTGAAATAATTTGTTCAATATTGAATTACGGCCGTAAAACATTCAGAAACACTAACCTGTCCTTCACAATTGTTCAAACGCAAGTAAAAATGAAGAATTGAATAATTTCCACAAAAAAAAAGATCGACTTTAATATTTTAACTGTACTCGAACACGAAAAAATATAATCCAGACCTTTTCCCCATATTTCTTTATATTTTTCATGTTCTTACGTGGCTTCAGACAGTTAATTCTGATTGACGAAAAGGATTCAACAAGACACACCACACGATTAACCCGATGACAACTCCAATAAACTCGCAAATTTATTTTCTTAGGTAACTACAAATTTATGAATAATCTCAGGTACTTCTGTGGATCAATGTGACTCACTTGGGCCCTCGCTCTGCCTAAATCCAGCGGAATAACCCCACGGGGTCCCATGAGCCACCCAGAAACCACCAAAGTCCTCATAATCCAATGAAAATCCAGAAAGGATTAATGAAAATTCACTTCCATCACTTTTTCTCATTTCTCCCGATCGAATTTCCATGATTTCCATCAGTTTATTTTTTTTCACCTTCAATTGAGTTGAGAGACACTTGAAAATGTTACATTATTAATTATTTTGAATGGGAAATTTGAGGTTACACTTTTCCATTCGAAGGATTTGCTCATGTAACTATGGAGGTTTTTATTTCTCAAGGGTAATAAATAAATTCTGGTGTACCAGTCTGACGTTGAGATCGTCATCCAGGTGCCGGCGTCCTCGTCACAGTAGACCGGCACACATCACTCACTAATTTCACCTCCAGGTTGATAACTTTAAAGGTAATGTATTCATTCAATTTTAAGGATTCCGATACTTTTTCGGGGGGTTTTCGGACTAAAATTCAATGGTGGAAGTGCAAAAATGCTTGACCAATGTATGTGTTACATGGAGGTATTTGTGAACCCTTGAGAAAGATGGTGGCAACGACGAAGATGGAGTCAGGTGAGGGGAGAAGAGAAGGTGGTATCATGGAGGGGGTACGAACCGAGTCAACATGTTAAATTCGCACGAAATTTGAAATTTGTTTTCACTCGACAAAATAAAATTGCTCACAATATTGATCTGTCATTTTTGGATTTGTCTGAACTATTTCAATTGTTGAATTTTTTTCAGGGGAAATGAATTTTTAGAGGGGAAATAGTGGGGTCAAAGAGCATCGACCGATTTGCGAATTAAAATTTTTTATTTAAAGGCCGAAGGGAGGAGGGTGAACAATGCCAGAGATTTTTCTATTTAATCTTGACTTGTTTGTTAGGCTCGGATCACAAACACCACAAAATGGTGGAGGACTAAAGGTGGTGGGGAGAGGAATGGTAGAGATTTCGTGGGTTTTGATTGGCGATTTGAAATGGTAAATAGTTGAGATATCGGAGGTATCAACACGAATTTGGAACCATTTTTTCGATGAAATAATTTACAATAGATATCCTTTAAAAACGTCCTATTTGACCGTGTATTTTTGATTGGTTTTTACTCGCGTAAATCAATCAGGGAAATAGTTTTTTTCACGAATGAAGTTGAGTCTTGCGCGGAAATACGACGACAGAAGTTGAAGTCGTGGCTAGCAGGTATCACTTCCGTAAATCTAATGGAAAAATGGATGAAAAAATATGCAGAATTGAGAAAAATGGGGCAGAATTCAATTTTTGAGTTGAACTAATATATTTTTTGTTGTTTTTTTTCTTTAAGATTGCAATGAATTCGAAAAATTAAGAGGAGAAATGTGGACAGTGCATAAATATCATACGGCACTGGTAGTACGTTTTACCGTGTCGTCGGGGACACCCCGACGAGCTCTTGATACAGAACAACCGACGTGAAAACCTGAAAACGCGCGGTGGTATTAGCGTGAAGCACGAGAGTGCGCCTTTGAGTCACTTGGTGGGGATCCCGGTAGGTTCTACTGTACTCACGCCGGCACCATTCAGGGAGTCGAGATTTTGCTCTCAGTAAGTAATGTTCTCTCTCTCTCTCTCTCTCTCTCTCTCTCTCTCTCTCTCTCTCTTTTTTTTTTTTTCTACAAAAACACTTGTTAATTTCTATTTCACTTCACAAGTATTTCTAACTTCTGATGACGAATATGAAAGTTTCATTTTTTTTGCAATGTCACTTTATTTTGCAAATCAAGAAAAAATGGAAAAAGAAAGTTGAAAAATGTTGCCGCTTGTAATTTTAAGAAACGAATTTGAGCCAGTGAAAATTCTCCAAAGTTTAATTCAACATTTCTCTTCATTCCGCGAATTAACAGAAAGAAATTCTCCCCAACGACTTCAAGTGAAAATTTCGTCATTTCGTAAAATCTCAGTGTTTCAATTAGTGAAAAGCTCAGAAAAAAAGAAATTGAGTTTTTTTTTATTCATGTGTCAACAATCGTTGGAATTATCTCAAGTGTTGAAATAAATGAAAATAAACATAAAATTCCAATGAAAAACCAAAAAGAAGAATTGCCCGGTTTATTTAATTGGTATGACAGTTGAGAGACGGTAGTCTAGACCTTGCCAATGCCACTAGGTGCAACGTTCTCTCGACAATCCCATCCGTAACTCCCTTGAACCAGTCGACCACCTCCCCCGTCGGCTTCCTACCTCGTACACGTCACATGACGCCACAGTATTCCCCCACCAGTATCGCTTGCCGTTTTTTGTGTAAAAAAAATAGTGAAGGAAAAAATAATGGAGAGCCACTACCCGAAGGGAAAAGCCGAGATATGAGTGGAGGTGGGATTTGGTGTGTGTGGTGTCAGTGGCTGGTGGTACTGGCGCGTCGCTCTCGTCGTGCCAATAGGTCGCACACTCATTAGCCCAGTCGCGCGCGCGATTTACCCCCACTCTCTCGAGTATACCGGCTACGCCGATCAGCTGGCCGTAAAAGATAGTAACACTGGTTGTAGACAAGAGATTGAGAACTGTCTGCGTCATCATTTTTTTTCTTTCCTTTCATAGATAATGGACATTATTTCAGTAGAATGTCATGTTAAGGATAGTGTTATCCAAAATCGCAAGTATTCAAAAAAAAAAATTGATTTTTTTTCAACTGAGAGATGAAGTTATTCCCTTTCTTGATGCGTGATGATTTTCTTGATGAAAATTTCAATCCATCAACCCACGTTTATATTATTTATAAATGGAGTGGACAAAATGCACCAAACGCATGCGCTAACATGGGCTTATATGGGATAGAATCTTTCAAATATTTCCTCTTTTTGCGCGGGTACCCTAAATTTTATTCTGGCCATTCGATTCAGTATAGTTTTGCACATTACCGTCTATTTTTATTTTTAAAGTCTTATAGTAGGTGAATTATAAATTTCAACATAAATCCCACAAGAGCCCGTGTATAAGGAAGAATTTGTTTATTTATTTCTGAGAAGACTAATGCAATTAATTTTTTTTCAACATCAAAGAAGTTAGTTTCATATGTTCTGCTATCAGCCAAAAAAAATATAGAATTTTCCTTGAACATGAAACAATAAGATTGCTGAAAATGGCAAAACATACGTAACAGAAAACAAAATTTTTGGGGCGGAAAATTAGCACGTGTGAAATTTCGCAAAGTAGATGAGAAATTTTCATCCTTAAGCGTGTTCAATCAAAAACGGAAGCTTAAATTTTTTTTTTTTTTTTTTTTCAAATCTGAGGGTTATCGCTTTCATGGTGATGAACATTTCAATCAACCCGAGTTGATTATTCAGGTCTAAAATATCTGGCTCAAAGTTTTAAATATCGGCATTATTTACCTTGGTACCCCAGATTTTTCCTTGGCCATTGGATTCGAAATATTTTTTCATATTAACCTCTATTTTTATTTTCCGAGTCTTCCAGTTGGTGAATTATCGATTGAAAATAAATCCTAGAAAAATCTGTCTGAAGGACGGCGGGTTAGTTTATTTTATTAGACCGAAGCTACCGCAATTAATTCCTCTCAATCATCAACAATGTCCGTTTCATATGTTCTCGGGCTGTCTGAAAAATTATAGAACTTTCCGCAACCATGGAAAAAAATCGATTTTCGGATTTCGGAAAAGAATATCTCAGAAATTAGTGAAAATATATGAAATTTTTCACAAGGAAGAGAAGTGGATATTTGGTTTGTGTTTTTGGAGTGATTTAAAACCTAATAGCCAAACGTAATGACATAAGAATAAGTTCGAAAATCTCGGACGCATTGTTCCGTAAATATCTCTGAATCTAGGAGATCTTCACTGCAATTCATAACATTTCTCGCAAGACAGGTCTTTTGGCCTTGATAAATTTCTCCTCCTCTTCCTTTCGGAAATATTTTCACAATGATAAATCACATTATCAAATATAATAAGCATATATGATGATAATGATGACAATCATTGACTAATAGAAAACTCAATTTTCCACTTTTACAGAAGATGCTTCATGGGTTATTTGGAAAATAGTATAGTCCATAAAGTGACAAATATGATTTTTGACAAATAATCACGAACGGATGTTCACTGAGAAAAAAAATGCTTTTGCCAACTATATTGACTAACTACAAGAAAATTTACACATGTCGTATGCAAATGTTTATATGGGGTATTCCATGTGAACTCACCCAGGTCAAAACCCTCACCATCGCCAATCATATTGACGATTTTTCCTGTGGTTCTATATGGAAAAATATGACCTCTCAAATTTTTTCAGATTTTTTGAGGCATCCTGTGGGCAGCCATGTTTTTTTGCAAGTTTTATCTTCAAATGCCTGTAACTTCCGTAAAAATCAACCGATTTGAGTTTT